AAGCAGATCAACAGTCTGGAGAGTAAGACCGATCCTAATAAAGATAACAAACTGGGAGAAGTAATCCAAGCTCTTTTTCACTATAGATAAAAATATAGATGAATTTAAGGCACATGTATTTTAAAAATTAACACACATTATTTTCTTTGGAGCTAATAATACAAAGTTAGCCGTAACTGCATTATCAACATGCTGTACACAGGAGCTTTTATGTGCATTACTTACATCAGCATTATCAGAAAACAATCACAAAATTATTCACACGCACACATGTGCATGCATAAACGTGAGCATAGACAGGAACACTACAGTAGAAAAAAAGAAATGTTCCTGTAGAGGTCTTAGGCAGTAAAGTTCTCAGGGATACACACTTTGAGTAACTCGAACGCGTGTGTAACATTAGTTGTGCAGGACAGCCGACGCAAGGCCAGCGTGCAGAGAGCAGGCGATTCACACATCTGGTGTGGGGGCAGTCGGAGGCCGCTCACCGGTCTGTGGCAACGCTCACAGCACTCGCACAGTCATGATAACCTGACAGCCAGCTGGATTTTTATTAAAGCCATCTGAAATAATTCAACACTGAGGAAACTTGTGTGCTAGACATATTAAAAAAAAAAAAATAATCACTGCTTGGCCCCCAACCAGACAGCAAATTTCTGCTTAAAAATCTCATCTTACCTGGTGGACTCCTTTTCTGAGTATATATTGCTCAGATTTTTTAACCAGGCACAACAAACCATTTAATTTGTACTTTCTTGTGTGCACAAGACTACATTCAGCTGCAAACATCCATTTTGCCTCACAGTGATCAAGCTGTTTGAGTTTCTTAATGCTCTTGAAGCAGCTTTTGCCACCTTCAGTGGTAGAAAAAACCCACATACACTCGCCCAGCTGGGCAACTGGGAAAAAACAAGCCTTTGGGCTTTCTTGGGCATTGCCACTCAAAGACAGCATCTTTATCACTCCAACAGAGTTCAGCGAGTTAACAAACGTGAAATATTTTTACCACCTGAGTTTCAGCATCTGGAGCAGCAGTCCTACGAGCACCCAGAATGTTTTTGTTTCAGCAAGCCCAGCCAAACACAGAACCCAAATGCACTGTGTTTCCTCCTGCCATCTCTCACCCCACCCCACCAGTTTCTCTCTTTGGAGCTGGACCGAGTTCACAGCTCTGCCTACCCACTGAGAGCGCCAGCACATCACCGTGCCTTGGGCAGGAGGGAAACCTGAAGTCACAGGGACTTGTAGCTCAAATAAAACCAAAGCAGGATAAACGGAGTCATTATCTAAGATAATGTGGTGAACTCAACCATTCTGAGGAAGAAGCTGGAGCAGTCAGCAGTGTCCCTGCTCTCAAGCACGAGTGAACAAAGCTTCCTCGGTGAACCTCTGCCAAGGTGAGCACTTCCTCTTCCTACACCATCAGCCCCCCTCAGAACTGTGCAGTGTTAAAAATCCCATTTAAAAGCTTGAGTAAATTATCCTAAGGGTCCATATCAACACAGTCTGCATGAAAGATATCTGCGCTTCAGAGAATAGAAACAAAAGCAATCTTTGACGAGAACTATGGAAAACTAACAGTACAACTCTGGACCCTTGGTGCCAGAGTGGAAAGCACAGTGCCTAATCCTCGAAATGCACACCAGGCACGTAGACAGAATGAATCCTCTGACGGTACAAACAAGAGATTCCACACACTGTGCCTACTTCAGCATTACCAAGGAGCGAGCCTACAGGTAATGCTAAAAGACTACCAAGCAATGCCACATGCTTGATGGCTGTAAAGCGAGGCAATGCCTGGTGCAGCGAAAAGCGGAAGGCTACAGGCTGCACTGTAAGGCAGTACTGAAGTTACGGATTCAGAGCCTTCCTGAAGCCAGCCTGCAAGGGAGCATCAACTTTCCTTTCAATGAACATCATATTGCTAAGAACAGAAGGATGTAACTGATGAAGGGGACATCAAAATGGAGAAGGAAAACATTTACTCTCATTTCTTTTTAAGAGTGAAATACTTTAAAGGTAATTATCTGTTTAGTGGAGTGAAATATTAGACAACTCTTAGAATTTATTTTTAATCTTTGGAGATACTTGAGCACCCTTCCCATGTATGGTTAGTCTCCAGTTACATCTTTGTACCTCTACTTTGGAGCTGCCACACCTATCACCATTTATGATGGAAAGCTTTTGATTATACTAGACGACCTTAATAATTTTCTCTCCTAGTTGAGACAAAAAAAACACCCCAACTTGCTGCTCAAGCCCATAAACTGCAAGCAGCTAGATATGCTTAATAGTGAGAGTTTAAATCTTTGAATCCATCCATACCTAAGTGAAATGCATCGGAGAACAGGTGGCTCAGGAATGCAACTGCCAAATTAATGCATCCTTCTAGAAAAATGGTACATTTGCATTAAACCAAAGTTGAATTCTTCTTTTCTAAAACATCTAAAAATACTTCTTCTAACAGAGCAGGCCGTAAGTGCAAATTATTTACAGATGCAACAAGCAAAAAAAAAAAAGGAGAAATCCACTGCTTGTTTTAAGGAAATCATTGCATGAATACCTGCCATTTTAGCAATGTTCCACACATGTAATAGCTCAGCATTGAATACAGGTTCTCAAGAACTGTAAGCAGGTGTTTTCTTCTACATCTACATTTCTGCATTTACTGGTTCGTTAAACACTGTCATTTTCAAAATAATAGGTAACAGTAAATAATTTTTTCAGAAAAGACAACTAAACTATAAAAGGAGTCTTCAAAACCACAGAGAGCAGTATCTTGTTATTTACAGAGTAGTGCAGTATTATAAACACAGATTAAAAGATACCTATACATAAATGACATTGTTCTACACCTACAGAATAAAGCTTGTTTAAAAACAGTTTAGCATGACAATCAATATTACAAGTCTTAATACAAACAAGAAGGAAATCAAAGGGAAGGCAAGTATTTTTCAAATTGCATCTCTAATGAAGTGCTCCTATCATTTTTTACATTTTCATTTACAATGATGGCACAAGTTATGTACAGTGTTAGTACACAGTATCAGCGACTGGGCAACTGCCACTGCTATCAATGGACCTTATTCACAGGTACTGAAATTACCTTCTCAGAGCAACACTTGGTGAGCAGATACAGAAGAAACTTAGAAAAGGATTAATTTATGCGGTTCACTTGTCTTAACATTACCGAGGGACTCTGTTTAGGGCAACATGAATGTACATGCTTGGGGACTGACTTCCCAACTGCACTGTTGATATGCAGAGATTTGTATTTTATCAGCGTTCTTAGCATATACAAAGCAGTGTTTGGTACTTAGCCAGAAACTGAAATTTGTGTCCTTTCCTGAGGTTGCAAGTTAATGCATCACAAAGTGCAGCTCCCAGTGCTCTTTAAGAGTCACAACCACATGCTACTGAAAACGATGACTCCCAGTTTGGCATCGCTTCACGGAGGGTCAGAATTTCCATCTCGTGAAGAAGTACTCTGGGAAAACAGATGAAGACAGTCCAGTGGAACAGACGACGTTCCAGAGATGGTGCTTGTTTTCACCCTCCTGAGCAAACATGGAGACCAGAACCCTGAGGCCAGGGCTGTCTCTGCAGGGGCCTTACGGGTTTTTTCTGCCCTGGCACTGACCAGCTTCCCTGCTGGCTGCTGTCCTCAGAATTCCTTGGAAAGGCAGTTCCTGAGGTTTTTGGCGATTAAAAGGAAATTGGTACACAGACAATCCTATTCATTTGCCAACTCTCGAGTCCTATTTCATTTTTTATGAACTTGTGTCTCAACTATATAACTACTGGAAGTACAGAGACCTAGTACAGCTATCTAGGAAGGACTTAAAAAACTTTACCAAAAAAAAGGTCAAAATATAGGTGCTTCCTAGGCTTCAGAATTATCCAAAACACGTTATGTCAGAGTTACCTCACATAGCTACGTGGACAGGTCCACAGATATTTTTCTGGTGACAGGAGGGACCCTTCCAGAACTTCTTCATCTGTGGCCAAGCAGCTTATACAGTAATTTAACTGTGCTAGAGTAAGTGATTGTCTGAAGAAAGGCCAAGAAATTCTTGGTGGGTACTCTGCCATCTCTGTAGACGAGGTACCCGAAAGACCAATTTATAAGCTGTAGGGCGCAACCCAAGTCCCCACCTCTGCCATCAGGTAATTTATAACGGGATTCAGGAAAGCGGAAGAATCCAGACTTCATCCTCCTTCATTCCTTGAATAGTTTAGAGATACGTCACACTGAGCAAAGAGCGAACCCAGTAACTTTCAGACTTCAGCCATACTATGCAAAAAATTAAGAACTGGGCTTCAAAATTGGCTCCACAGATGCACGCCGACACCCCACCGGTCACTGGTTTTCCATGTCACACAGCCTCACACTTCTGACAAACAGTCAGCAACACTACGAGTAAGGCCCACAGTGTGAAGGTACTGCAACACACTGCAGTGACGGCTGTGTGGCTCACTGAACAACCAGCTTCTCCTTCCGAGAACAGCATTCCTCAAAGATTCTCATATTTTCCCTACGTAGCTTGTTTTGTTTGGGTTTTTTGTTTTGTTTTGTTTTTTTTTTTTCTCAAATTCTAAACCATGCATGATCTGATGTAAAATCTGCTTGGTTAAGCCAAGTAATCTGCTTGTAAGAACGCTGTGCATATGGATTATAATTATATAACCTTTTTTTAATTGTAATTATCCTGGATGATTCTTTGGCATTTACTTGCCTATGTATTTTTCCAATTAGCAGAACCTGGAGCAGATAGCACTTCTTAGGACACATGCACAAATGCTTGGGAAGGCACCTCCCCCACAAAGCTTTCAAGATTCTAATGACAGACCACACACAGGGCGAACTTTCTGAGCACTAGTACAACAGACTATTACTGCTCTCGTATCAGAGCCCGTAGCAGATATAACTGAACTCTGGTTACTGGATAGATTTGTAGACTTGTTTCGTAAGTTCAATCAACCCTTTTTCTAAAGGCACACCCACTTCAAGAATTTTTAAAAAGACAGCCTTGCAGCAGACCACTGGATTCATTCATGCCATCTTCTTCTTTTCTCAAGAAAAAAAGTTACAGTTTAAAGCCTTTTTCATTATATCTATGAATCGTCACACAGCCGTGGTATGATACTGGCCTGGGCATGGCTGCTACTCCTGTGATAATGCCCGTTGCAGGGTCATAACAAAGAACAGTGTCTGTAGCTTCACCATTTTCTCTTCTTCCACCAAGGATATAGATTTTTCCGTTGCACACAGACATGCCACAGTTCTCCTGTTTCAAAATACACAAAGGATTAGGCAATTATTTAAAAAGACACGACTTCAATTCCTGCATGTCTACACCAGGGCAGACGGACAGCACTGTGACTACCGTCTGTAAACAGACTGGCCGATCCTGCTCCCTCCTGAAAGGGCCAAGGCAGAAAGCACAACAACGGGGAAAAGCAGCAGCACAATCCCACAGAAAAGACTATTTCAGGTCTAAGCCTTCACCACACGTAGCTCAGACAAGGAACACGACAGAATGTAGCTCAACACTCTACTTACCTTTCAAACATCTCAGATAAGCGAAGGAGAGAACAAAGGTGTTTCAAAAGAGGGACCACAGTAGGTCCTATTAATGCAAAAAATGGGAAAAGGAGAAGCACCTTAGAGGAGTAACAAATAACGAAGAGGGATGTGAACAGGGGAGAGGAAAGAAGCCCTGACTAAGAAAAGTGCGCATAAGACAACGCTAGGTCTTACTTCAAAGAGAGCTAGGATTTTATTTCTTCCTTAAAAGCAGGCATGGAGAAAATAAGTCAAATAGAGAACACAGATCAAAACAGAGGAATAAAGGAAAGGCCAGGAAAAAGAAGAGCAAATTTCTGTTAATGGTAGATATCACAGATTATGTGATTGATGTTTTAAAAACATAGGGAAAACTGATACACACACACTTTACTACGGAGGGGACACATTTTTAAATGCTGTTCAGCGTTCCATACGTGGAAGTGATCCAGCTCTTGCTGCTTAAGTCAGATACTTTGCGCTACACGCTGTTTGTTGGGTTTTTTTTTTTCTTTCTTTTTCCACACTGTAAAAACAGCCTTCAGTATTTTTTGTTACATTGAAAGGTTTTAATCAATTATCAGAAAATTACTAGCTTCAGTCTAAATTCGAACATGCAGCAGAACTTGACAGAGATCAATATCTACACAATTAAAACATCATCTGTTACGCTGTTCTCCAACAGCAACTGCTCTCAAACGAAAACGCTGGGCTGGCTAACAGTGACACCGGCTGAAGAGCTACTGGTTTAGAAACTTCCACTGCTCTGAGGTTTGGAATTATAATGATGCAAAGCAAGAATGGAATCAGAGATGCAGTTTTAACAGGGTTAAACAAGCGTATACTCGTTTCACGCCAAGATACTTGCGTAAAAAAATACCTTTCGGATGTCTACAGGCCTGTTAGTGTTAATTACCTGTCTGCTGAACGTGTTCTGTATGTGCATCCAGTAGTCCTCAACCGGATCATAGCAGTATATCGCTTTGGTAAGCCCACCGGCAACATAGATCAGATTGTTTAGAGACACAGCCGTAATACATCTTTTTGCGATAGGGATAGTTGCACGGAGCAACCACGAGTTAGTATCAGGATCGTAAGACTGAACCTGAAAACAAATACATGCTTTTCAGATTAAAAGCCTAATGGAAATAATAACCTGGCACACCCAGGCAGGTGATACAAGGAGAGCCAAAGAAGCGGTACCTGGCGGGCACTACCTCACCGAGAACACGAAGTCAGTATAAACACAGGTCCATGTGTCAATAATGTCTATATATGCACTACAGTCAACGTTGTTTTCCTAACACTTGGGTTTAAGAATTCATGGAAGTTGTGAAGCCAATGACAGCATCCATGAGAAAGACCATAGTAACAGTGTATTACTGAGATTATGTCTTTTACTCTGTATTTTTTGTGTTACAGTAACTCCATACTTCATTCAGTTAAAACAGATCTCTGCGTGACCTGTTTTGAAACCACAAGTCTCTGTCTGCCACAGAGAGAAGGTGCAATCAGACACAATTAGCTGACCTTGTCAGAGCACGTGTTGTCGTCAGGACCGCCCCCGATCACAAAGAGTTTGCCGACACAGCTAGCGACTGCTGGGGAGCTCACAGCTTCTTTAAGGGGAGCCACCTCTGTCCATCGATTGGAAAACGAATCGTAACACTCTACACTGCTGAGACGGTTTTGCCCGTCGTATCCTCCAACAACATACACCTATGCAAAGTGGTGAAAACTATCATCATTGCATTTTTAGAGTAGTTATTACATTTAAATATGAAATTAAATTAAAGCGGCAAGAATCCTAATTGGCTAGGTTTGTGAAGGGATACTTTCCTCAAATTTTTAATTTATACGTAGGAGAAGAATAACATGGTCTAAAAATAAATAGGCAAGGACTTTCTGGAGAGTTCAATTCAGTCACATGTGGAATGACACTGCAAACACACATCCAAAGCACAGTATTATTAATACTGAGATAGAAACTTCCCACTTGAGTGGCATTTGTTCAAAAAGGCACCTCTCCGTGTTTCTCTGTTCACAGATTACATTCAGCAAGTCCCTCTGAATTTACCTTTGCTTTTCTGCGTTTTATTTTCCTACTGGCTTACAAAAATGTTTCTTCCTCTCAGTCTGTAAACTTTTCTTTCCTGTCACATCTCTCGTATTTAAGAAGCAGAGCTCGTTATTATTTGTGTCTACCTTCTTCCCTCTGTTTGCTCTAGCTGCAAGTCTCATCTCCAAGAACTTTCCTGCTCCAAGGGACACCACATGCAGAGCTTCCCTAACTTTCATTAATGGCATCCTCACAGGCAGCTGATCCCAAATCCTGTTTTTACGTTACAGCATATTTTCCCTCAAAATACAGCAAACCTTCCCATTTCCCCACAGCATGTATTTGGTTAATTTCAACATAAAACATTAAATAAAAGAAGCACAGAGCTGACATTCAGAGCAGTACCAGTTTCTGTTAATAACTACACAAACTGCTAACCTTTTGACAGCACTTTTGAAGCTCAAGCAAATCCAGCTGCTTTTCTGCCTCCCAAAAAATGGCTTCAATGACAAAAAGAACACCCACACGCAAAAAACCCCCCCAGACTGAGGGGTAACGTGATTTTCATGTCCACCGATAGCATCTGACTGATGAAGAGCCCAATTGTTTAAAATATTCTTTTATTTGAAAATATGTGTTTTTAAAATTATTTGATAGGAAATATGAAGTAATACTAAATATGTAGATACATTTTTCCCCACTGTTTTCTTATATACAGAAAACATCCCCATTATTAAAAAAAAAATTATCAGTATACTTCTCTTACTTTACCCAGAAGAACAGCCATCTTATGACGCCATCTGCCTTTATTTAAGGAGGCAACTCGGATCCAAATGTTAAGTTGAGAGTTATAAATCCAAACATCCCGGCTATTGATTCTTCCACCTTTAAAAACAAAAATACGCCCATTTGAATAAACTAATTATCGAATGAGAAATGTTAGCTATTAACATACCCCTCTACAGTGGGCAATGAAAGCTTTATATCTTTATTTCACCTAAAAAGGTTACGTCTATACTTTTACATTAGACTGAAAAAGTCCATTTTGGACGACTTCAAACATGAAAACATACAGTAAATTATTTTACTTACTGTGCCTTTCCCAGTAACACGCTGAGATCGTATCAGATCACTGCTTCAGACTGGAATGCATTTTAATGGCTTTTGCCTATGCTCTTCAGATTCCCCTTAGTGTCACTCTGGGGAGGACACTCAACCTTAACCGTTTCCGTGCCTCACGGCACATCCCTAACACCCGCTGTTGCCCTGTTTGGTCCATGCATACATCTTTGTTTTACACTTTGTTCAACTGACACAGGTACTGCAAATCTGAGGAGAGAGTTTCTTTGGTTAAACTAACACATGATGCATGGTGTCTGAGCCACCAGCCACACCCTACAATTTACCCTTGCTAAGAGATTGAATGAGAGGTGTTTAAAAACCGATAGCTATCACGCATTTCACTGTAAAAGGCTGGTACAAACGGATCCCCAGCTCAGGTACTAAAAGGATTTTGTTTCCATTTTCCATTCCCACGATGGGGAGAAGCTTCACCTGTTTTTCTTTCGGGCTCTAGGCAGCCGTAGGACAGAAGCGACTCACCAGCAACGCACCGGCGCGCTGGGCTCCTAGGCAACTGGCGTTTTTAACCAGCACACGCAGCAGAGAAAATGCTGCTGGGAAAAGACTCCTTGGGGATTTTTGCTTGTCATCTTTCCAACTGTTGCTGCAAACAGGCTGCTACTCTATTTTAAAGCTGCGTACTTAACGAGCATAAGCTAGTCTAAATACAACTGTTATCCTGGAACCAGCTGGAGAGAACTGCTGATTAATAGCCAACAAAAATCCCAGAAAGCACTTCTGTCTGCAGTAAGATTGCTTTGGGGCTGGGTTTACCATTTACATCAGAAAATGACGTTCAGCTGAGCTTCTGGAAGCTCACAGTACAAAGATCTATCACGCTACTTTTTTAAAAAAAAACAAACAAAAAAACCACAAACCCAACCCAAACCAACAAAGAAGTCTTAAGTTTTTTAGGATTATCCACCTGAAACAAGAATATCATTCCGTAGAGCACACACTGCATACTCAGACTTGGTGAACTCTGGAAGCTTAGCCAGTGACTTCCACTCTCCTGTTACAGGATCGTAGCACTCGGTGTACGGCAAATTAAACCCTCCAACTCGTTCGCAGCCTCCAACAACAACTATCACCTCAGAATAGCCAGTTGATCTGAAAAAGTGAACACAGAAGAAACTAAAGACGTAAAAGATATTTATTAGTACACAGAGGCCAAACAGCATTGTTTTCAGAACTGTCTGAAAATCGGAAAATTTACTATTTAGCATGAACTTCTACAGCAAAGAGAAAAGCAAAAAAAAGAAGGCAGAGTCATTTGGCAAGCAGAGGTTTTCACTGTTTCCACCCATCTCAGGGCGCAGCAGGTTACCACAGACAGGTGTCCTGTGGAAGCGGTGGAGCTGCACTGCACAGCGTTCTACGTAAAAATCAAATAATTAAAAAATACAGAAAGCCCCCTGACTCTTCCTTTGACTGTCTACGTAGACATATCAGAAAGAGTTCAAGCGAGGCCTGAGACAATAAGATAAGCAATGTTTCACAATGAAACCAGTCCCCACCCCCCCCGAATTTTACAAAATTCATAGTCCTTTCCACTGCTTAAATATTAAAAAAGTTTAAAATATTTTCAGTTATTTCCTGAAAAAAAAAAAAGCTGAAGGCATATAGTCACCAAAATAAGGGGGGGGGGGAGAAGACCTTAGAGCCAATGCAGTTAAAAAGGTGAAAAACAAGAGTAGTGAAATAAAAATTGAAGCCTAGAATAAAAACTAAAACATGGTATGAAAAAATTAAGCATTAGACAGTCTGCAATGTATGCAAATAGGCCTTTAAATTTTATTCCACACTCTCATTCTCCTTACTAACCCGATGCTTCTCCATTCTACGCATTCTGTATTCACAGCAGTAACAAACCTTGTTATACGTTAATCCACTTTTGAATGTAAGGAATCAACCAACCATCTCTGACGTGCCAATCAAACTATGACCACCTTTTATTCCTCCTCTCAAATTTATAATTTCTTGTCAGCATTTGTCAAAATCCTTTCTTTTCAGGGCTTTTTTAAACTGTAAAGGTTTTTGCACTGACACAGTTATTTCAAGGACTGCTGTCTACTAATTAAGTAAAACTGAACGGAAGATTGATTTTATTTTTGGTAAGCCCTTCTGCTGTGTTGTGTTTAACTTTGATCCCGATGTGAGCAGGCGCCTCATCCATGCCAGTGCTGTGTGCTGCAGTCCTCCCCCTAAAAAAATATGACTTTTGACTGCAGTTGAGATAAAAGTTGCATGATCTGTCCTCAAATTTCCTAACCTGTGAACTTATGCACATATTAACTTCTAAATCCTGATGACGTATTCCCCGTTCTGAAACATAAGGAATAAAATTAGTTAACTCTGTCTCCTTGTCACCACACACCATAATTTGAATATACCACGTGTGTTTCTACTCAGAATATTTTAACTAGGCAAAGGCAATGCTAAATGCTAATGTACTGTAAGACTATAAAACAACATACTTAAGGCACCTGAACTAGCCAGAAGAAACACCCTCTTCAGCTGCTCAGATTTGAAGTCATGCTCGTTCCTGCTTTCTATGTATTCACTGTTATTTTGTTTTGCTTTTTTGAGGAACAACTCTGAAAAGAATCTCTCAAAGGATAAGAGAGGGGAAGTTCCTGTGCCAGAATTTCCTTAAAAGCAAGATACTCCTCTCACAATTTGCCTCAGCAGCAAACCCCAATACATCAGCTAACTGTATGTACCAAAGAGGTTTGGCTGTTGATTACCTTCTAGGTTAGAATCAGGGCCTCCACTTACTGAAAAGCTTACTGTAATCTTCAACTGGAGAGAGCTCTTTATGACTTGCTATGATGGAGTCGTGCTCTTTAAAGAAAATACTAATTTAGCACAGTATTTCAAATCCACAGAAACCCAAAAATTTTCTGACCATTTGAGTACCTATATAACCATATCCTTTCTTCAGTTAAGAAACATCTTCTCCATTACATTTTCTCGAAGGGGTCATGCACTGTGTATGTTTTCAGGTTAGCTCCAAAAGACTTTTTGCAGATGACGGAGAACACAACAGTTTAAAAAAAAAAAAGTGGGAATACACAGCAAAACCGTACAGGCAAGGGCTAATTCCAGCAAAGAACTAAGGATATATTTGAATGAAGACTAGAAAAAGCTGTGATCTCAATTAGTTGTAGAGAAAGTCCTCCCTGTTGTCCTAGGGAGAAACTGTGTGAGCAAAATAACAGAGGTGAGATAAAACAGGCCCTTGAGAGACTCCAGCAGACACCCTCCCGTCAGGAAGAGCTGCACAAAACAGAAAAGGGGGGAGCGGAAGGCGACCGACAGGGTCAAACGATCCCGTGCCTTCCCCAGAGCAGGTTCCCGAGCGGGCCTGCAGCTACAGGCAGACCTCTAGAGCAGGCGAGAATGCCAACCAGCACAGCATCAGCTGGAGAGGAGAACTTTCAATAGTTCAAACAGATTACAGTCAAAACCCTTCTAAATTTGGCAGACAAATTACAGGAATTCTGGAAAATCACCACTTCATTTTTCCCCGTTGATTCACTTCTGGGTAGTAAATGGGATAACAGACAGAAATGTATAGTGAAATTATAGCTGGGCTTGTTCAGCCTGAAGAAGAGAAGGCTGCGAGGCCCTAATATATACTTACAAATATCTGCAGGGTGGGGGTCAGGAGGATGGGGCCAGACTCTTTCCAGTGGTGCCCAGTGACAGGACAAGGGGCAACGGGCACAAACTGAAGCAGAGGAAGCTCCAGCTGAAGATGAGGAAGAACTTCTTCCCTCTGAGGGTGACGGAGCCCTGGCCCAGGCTGCCCAGGGAGGCTGTGGAGTCTCCTTCTCTGGAGATATTCCAGACCCACCTGGACGCGGTCCTGTGCAGCCTGCTCTGGGTGACCCTGTTTGGGCAGGGGGTTGGGCTGGGTGACCCACAGAGGGCCCTGCCAACCCCAAACATTCTGTGATTCTGTGAAATACAACCTCATCTCCTCAAGGGAAAAATAAGGGACTATATTAAAGTTTTCTAAAGGCAACCAGAAAGGATGTGTTAAAACGTATGAATGTAATAACTTAGTTCTAACTGATTAAAGAGAACACTCATATATTGTTATCAGACAGCTTAACGGAAACTGGGATCGAAAAATTCACAGGTACGTGAAAATCTGAAGACAAGTCAAAGCATACAGCAGGAAGAGCCTGCTTTGGTTTGCGTACGGAAACGCATTATTGCTCACTGCTTGCTCTTGGCTTGGAGACCTGCTGTGCAACGCCAGGAGCAGCGGGCAAGAGAGGCTTGGAGGGAGCAGGAGAGACACCCTCCAGATGTCGCTACCCCGCTCCCAGCAGTAACTGAGAAAAAGAACTTCTGCATGTGCCAACCCTGCCTAGTGGCAAAAGAGCAAGCCGGCAACCGCCAGGATTTAAACTTTTATTTACTTCAGGTAACGCTTCACTGGCCTCAAGGAGAAGATCAACTGCGAATCGCAGTCCCCACTGTTCTTTTAAAAACACGGGTAGAACCCGCTTCATCCATAGGTGCGTACATACCTGTACAAGGAATCACTATTAATTTCCAGAAGTTTCAGTAAAAACACTGGCGTGGGAATTTCTGACCCTGCAGCCTGTCTCCTTTTAGAAACAGTTTATTTTAAAAAGAAATTGGAGGAAGGCAAGAAAGCAGGAAGAGAGAGCTCTTCAGCGTCCTCTCCTTGCCAACCCCCCTAGAAATGCCCACAAAAGGTGTGGTGAAAACAAGGGGACACCCCCCCCCCCAGTAACCATTTAAAAACACAATCTCTTTTTGCTATAGGCAACAGAAACAGATGACAAAGAACCATGCCATGAATGTAATATAGAAAAGGGGAAAAAATCCCTGCTGGGAGGCCAGCCAGTTTTTCTCTTCGTAAATTACTTCTCTCGTCCCTGCCTACTGGAATTCGCAGTGCAGTTTACCAAGCTCAGCAGTAAAACCAACAAATCCCCCCAAACCCACGCCCTCCGCCCCGCTTCAGAAATCACCTGCGTCAAGCAAGGGACTTCATTTCCAGACCGGAACGCTAGACTGAGGCCATTCAGATTCTCAAGGGCACACACACCGTGCACTCTGGCAAACCTGTTCTGTCTGAGTGTATTTGCTTTCTTTATCAAATTAAGTAATAAACGTACACCAGACACCACAAGATACAGCCCCCCTCCAACCGCTCACGAAACAAGGAGGTCTTTGGTCTGAATTCCACGGTCCCTCCCTCCGGCCCAGGCTCGGGGTACGCAATGCCTCAGAAACGATCGACAGTTCCCAACGACCCGCCACGGCAGCGTACAGCTTCGAAAACCCGGCAGCGGGGTGGTGAGGACTTCAAGGAGAATTCCTTCTCTCACGACAGGGCTGAAGACTGGAAACCTGCTACCGGGGCAAATGCCCACCCAGTATTTCGCCCCCCCATAAGCAAGCCTTCAACACATGCCAAAAAAAAAAAATAAAGGTTCCTGGCACAGTTGCTGTAGAGCAACTGCATATGACTAAGAGTAAATAAAGAGGAGTGACTCCTAACACAATCTTTTGTTCAGACCAGATCATTGCATCACCTTAATATACCACCTCATTTTCCAGCTACAGCGTAAATCAGCTGGAGTTAACGCTAAGCTATCATGTCAACTATCATGTGGAGGTAAGGCTTTGACTGGGGAAATATTTTTCAGGAATAAAAACCATAACCACCATTGCTCATAAATGCCACTAATGGTCTCTTCCTCATTTCTTCTTGCAGTTTGAGCCACCTATTTGTGTAACACATTATTAAGCAGCAGCAATTCTGAATTATTACAATGTCATAGAATAAGCATGAAATACTTCAGGAACTGTTTCATAATTCTTTAAAAATGCAAGATTTAGTCTCTTTGCAGTTACAAACCTGTTGTTCTGCCGTCTACCGTCTATTATGAATCCTTCTACTACTCCATCTGTAAACTATTTGTAGCAAGTGAATGCTCTGAATATATATCCCCATCCTTTATAGTGTGCTGTACACTCGCACGACTTTGTTAGAAAGAAGGTTGGGAAGTTGAATGGTTCACTTGCTATAGCACAGTACATTCTTTTCAAGATGCTGCTACTGTATCAAGTAACTGAAGATCTCACCTAGCAAACATTAACCTTTATAAAATATTTTACTTGCGAGGTAGGATAACTTCACTTACCTGGAGTCGTTTATTTCACAGCAATAAAGTGATCTGGGCAAAAAGACTCACTGATGTACCTTTTCAGGACCTGTGTGAACGTTGCGTGTTGTGGGGAAGTACACATGTGTAACTGTAGCGGCTCCAGAACGCAAAATAAAATAATCTGCAAGAGGTATTTTCTGGGCGCGTGTATATCGAACATCTGTAGATCAAGCTATGTCCTTCTCCTACAGAAATAAGGGGGGGGAGAGAGAAAAAAGTTTCCTCACCTGCGCGGCCTAGTTCTGGGAGACATCATCTCATTTCCGAGGATGTGGTATCGCCTGGCTTCGTGCAGCAGCTGGTAGCACTCTGGGGAATTCTGAATCAGCTGGTCCACTTCCACCGTCTGAACAAAGTAGTTGGGGTGTAACAAGGGGAGCCTGACGTGCGTCAGAAGTTCGTGTAACACTGGTCTTCGCAGATCAACTGCCCGGTACACCCAGCGCATGACAGCCTCAAACACCATCTCTTCCTTACTGATCACCAGTTCGTCACTGCAAATGTAATCAATAAGCTCGTCCTTCCCCAGTTCCAGGAATTCCTCATGCTGGGACACATCCTCAAACGTCTGCAGCGCAAAATTCCTGCACTTGGTGAACAGCGTCTTGAGCGAGTGCGTATCTGCAAAGCGCTGGATTCCCAGGCAATTGCAGGGATCCAGCTGTTCTTCCAGGAACTTGGCGCAGGCGTCCCGCAGAACGCTGATCTGAAAGAGACTCGACGTTTCAAAGAGGTACTGCACGTTCTCTGTAGTGATTTTCACCTTGCCAGTGTATACGTACTGTAAAAAGCAATCCATAGCTTCAGCGAAAATGCCGTTGATCTCCACTAGCATCTCTCTGCTTTCTCTGTGGTCGTTGCAAAACATGGCTCTGAAGTAGCTGCTGCAGGCCGAGAGCACGGCGCGATGGCAGGGGAACTCCCTCCCTTCCACGCAGATGATAACATCCGTGAACAACCGGCTGTCCCGAAACTCATTGAAGATCTGGAGAATGCTTTCGGCGTGGGATGATCCCGAGGAGAAGTCGAAAAACTCGGGGCCTGACAACGATTTTGGGTCCATTTCAAAAACTTTCCGCTTGGTTGCAGGGGAATCTCGTATCCCGCTATCCTCTCTATTCAGTCTGCGTCCCAGGATTAGTACCATTGTTACATCAGTTGGCTATAGAGTCATTGAGAAAAGTTTGCAGAGTTTCTCCTTCGCAGCGCTACGGTCTGAAAAATTAACACACTTCAGTATACAGTCCAGTATATTCTCAATTTCATCACGAGAATTACACAAGGTACTTGTTTCGTTACTCAAAGAGCTGGTACAATTTTTGACCTTTTCTAGAGGGGACACAGGGCAAACCACCGCACACCTCGTGCAGGGCAATGCAGCATCACCTGAAAGTGAACCCACAGCAAGGTGTCACGGACGGCAAGTTCCCAATGCCCCAGCGCCACCGGCACTGCTTTAGCGTTCAAGATAAAAAACACCCGAGTTCCTGGCTCCAGCGAATCGCCCGACTGACAGAAGCCAGAGATTGCCTGGATAAAGACCCAGAGCTTGGGCTTTTCTCATTTTTCCATGCAATCCTCATTTCAGCTGGAGCCTCCAAGGACTACTATCACAGCACTAGTCCAAAAGTGGAAAGCAAGACTGACATTTTCAAAGTAAAAATTCAGTTGGGAAATCACTCCATTTGCATTATAAAGTCTATCCTAACGAAGTCTTATAATACTAGTTTTTAGTAACATTCAGTTATCCCAATGAATAACCTTGACCGTAAGTTTTTACCTGTTCATTCCTAGCATCTAAAAATTAGCTCACCAATAATCTAAGATTCAATTAAAAATCAGTGTAAACTGCTAGCACCCAAGACAGAAGGAAGAAAGAATTACCTTTGCTTGTGTAAAACTACTGAAAACAACAACCAAGGGCGACTTACTGAGGACAAGGAGATTTTCTGTTTCCCAAAGTACTACTAGCAAATAATTATCAGCACAACTTTTGCTCAAACGCTTTTCAGTTTCAAACACGTAGCGTGCAACGTTCCCCCTGGCACGCAAACACGCACTCACGTTCTCAGAGCGCTGAAGTTGCAAAAATCAGGTACTCGGATGTTAGCATATACCAATATCAAAGTGTGCAGGCGAAGAAAAGGCAGCCGACGGCGCGTCTGAGAGGCGACGCGCTCAACCAGCCGAGCAGCAGCGGGGCTTTCTGCCACTCCTGAGCTTCCAAGCGCAGCGGGTGAACGTCCCCCGGAACACACCGAGGCGGCAGGAGGCTGGGCAAACCGCCCTCCACGGCCCGGCACGGGGATCGCTCCCACCGCATGCCACGTTTGCTTGCAGGTCTAGAAGGACACGCGCTGAATTATCCCGAATTGTGTGGAAATGTTTTTCGTGCCTCCCAGAGGTTATATGCAGTTTCCCTCATTCCGCACTCGCAGAGTCAGGAAACGTCAGCTCCTCGCAGCAATTCCATTTCCTGACGTGCTAGCACCTTCAGAGCTGCAATTACCCGATCCAAGTCTGGCCACATCATCGCTTAATATAGAACACAATGAACACGCTTCGCTTTTTTTAAACAGGCTTTTCACACAGCACCTTTAAAAGGCACCATCTTAACAAAGAGCAAGCAGAGAACGCCTGCTGTACATTTTACTCACTGAGAAAAGAGGTTTTAAAACTATCATTTTCCACCCAAAATTTTTTACACGTATTTACAAGGCAGATTCTTGGCACGGCTCAGTTACCCTACAAAAATATTTAATTTTAATTCGCATTAAAATAGGACCAGTTGTCACTTTGATGCCTGGCTGTTGCCACGAGCCTATCTAATAACCGATTGCTTCAGAGCTATTTTAACGAGGCACCAACGGACAGCCTGATCTGCAGCTGATCTTCTGTCCAATGCGTTTCACAACCATTCTACCCTCTGATGACGCAGGCCGGGTAAAAAACAAACCCAACAACAACCACCGCCACCACTCACCAGCTCTGTCGCTAACACCCTAACCCTTACACTGAACTCTATCTGCAGTGAATTCCATGCTACTCGGCATGAGAAAGTGGGCAGAAATGAAGCATCAGCAGTAGAAAAGGGAAATGTAACAACGGAAATACAAATCTAAACTCTAAAGACTTGCTTCTAGTGTCACAGATTTAAAGCAGAATAATTTCACTAAAGCTAATGGAGCTTTCCCAGAACAAAGTCAGCCTGAGATCAGAAACAAGACACTGGCATATTGCGTGAAAGGGCAAAACCCTGCAACTAAGTACAAAAAGCTTTAAGATTAAATCCTTCTCGTTACCGGAGCTGTTAAGACTTAAGAACACACTATATTATGCAATCACTAACAAAGGGAAATAAGGGCTTTGGGTTAAGACTGCTCACTGAAGGAAGCAACGTCTTCTCTCTCACTGGAACACCACAAAAGTAGCAGTCGGCGAATGTTCTTTTTCTTAATGTTGCGATGGTTTACAGAAATGGGAGAATAAAAAAAAAATAAATCCACGGAGCACAAACTAAACAAGGGGATAAATATTGCAAAATCACAAATAAAAGAATGGAAAGGAAAAAGAATTACACTCCATTGCAGAAAGTACTGGTTTTGAATATACTATACTTCAATTTATACCCAGTTAATTACTTCTGTAGGTTTGGTTAAGTGAAATAAATGCCTAAGACCACCAGTAACACGACCCCACGTTCAGCTCTACCAGACACACCCATGGCCTTCTGGCAAGCCTTGCTCTGGCAGTCTTAAAATGCCACCGCTTCCAGCTGCCGGCCCCCTGTTTCAGCCCAAAGCTGGAAAGGCAGAGGGCAATCTGTGCCCGAAGCCGAGCTGCCGGGTGCGCGAAGGAGGGAAACGCACGAGGATGCACCTGTCTGCGCCTTCCCTGTGTGTAAAGGTACTCACAGGTGCCTACAGGCTCTGCACCAACCAGAGAACTCAACGGTGAGATGTCTTCAGGAAGTTTAAATGCAGCAAAAGAAATTATTTTTTTCCCCAAATATAACTATGGGAACTTATTGTAGTGAAAAAAAATATAAAATGTATTGGCTTGCTTGCCTGAGCAAGGGCCAACACGGACAGACCTTCAGCAACCAGGGAGTCCACCCATTCAAAACACTGCGAAGGAACAACAAACCGCGCTCCCCAACAGCAGGCTTTAAAAACGCTTCACAAATCCCGGCACGGCTCCGACGTGGATGTTACCTGCACACGCGCACCTCTGCATCAAGCTGGGCTCACCAGCACATCAGGTTCCTCCGTTTCCTTCATCTGAACTGCCTGTGGGCTTGTCTACACAAGGTGCTCCTCAGGAACAATCTCACCAGGAGCCCAGCTCAGCGGCCGGTAAATGACGTCTGCAGAACGTTTGCCCGGCCACTTTCTATCCATAAATCCTCCTATGCAAATTGCTTTGCTGTTGCACCGAACTCCTCCTTCCCCACTCCAGCAGCCTCACGTATTTTAGGTATTTTACCCCTCTCCCTTCGCCAGCAGCTCTGCCAACCTCCAGCCACCTTCTGGTAGGGCTGTTTTTCTGCATTACCGAACTTCTCTGGTCTGTCAGCAGAGCTGGCAGAAGACAGCGGGGGGAACTGATATTCAAGACCCGTCTGGACGGGGTCCTGTGCGGCCTGCTGTAGGTGACCCTGCTTCGGCAGGGGGGTTGGACTAGATGACCCACAGAGGTCCCTTCCAACCCCTACTATTCTGTGATTCTGTGGGTGGCACCGAGCCACCCATCAGGCGTGCCCAGCTCTGCTCACCCCAGGGCGCAGATCCCAGCGCACCCGACGCTGAGCCGGGC